TCGGGTACAATCAAGAAGGACTCAAGATGAGTCAATAAATGAAAATGGGAAAAAATTAATCAAAATAGGCGAAGAAATGGGTCTAATGTTATTAAATGGTAGATGCAAGGGTGATGAAGAGGGAAAGATAACATATGTTGGGTGTGATAAGCAATCCAAAGGATCGGTGTTGGACCTAGTAATGATCGTTGATCGCGGTGATGAAGATATAGTGAAAAGATTATGTGTTGTTACACGCACTGAGTCTGATCATCTGCCGGTTACCTTTGAACTAGGGGCAATTATGGAAAAAGAACAGAGCATTGAATTTTTGAGGGTAATGGGAGAGCCAACAAGTCGAAATAAAATCAAATGGGACAACAATAAAGCTGATGAATTCAGAGAGATTACAGCAGGTAAATTGAGTGAGGTACTTTGTATTAATGAAGCAAGATGGGAAGATCTCACTCAAATAATTTGGGACTGTGCAAATGAAGTAGGGATGGTCAAAAAAGTGCAAGCGAATGCAAAATGTAAAGATGGCCTAAGATATTCAGAAATCTGGAGAGAAACTAAGAAAGAATTATGGGTACTGCTAAACAACTGGCTGAAGGATAGATGTGATGCGCGAAAAAAAGAACTGAACGACTGTCGAAAAAAGCTCAGAGAAATAGGAGATGAGGACAAAAGAAGATACACTGAAGAAAGGTGGGATGAAATAGACCGGGCAAGGAACATCTCAGAGTGGTGGAGAGCAGTGAACAGGTTTAAACCGAGGCGACTGAATGAGACCTCAGAGAAGATATCCAATACAGAGTGGACTGTGCATTTTAGCACTCTTCTTAACAAGAATGTCGAAGAAAAGGAAAAAAAGCGAAGTAATGTGGAACAGTGGAGTAGCTCTGAGGGGATACACTCCACTGACGACAACCTGGATAAAGATATAGAAATTGATGAGATCAAGGATGCACTGAAAAGAATGCCCAACGGGAAAGCGACCGGTGAAGATGGGGTACCGATAGAATGTATAAAAGTAATTGCGAGAGAAAACATGGTGTGGATAGCCGACGCTCTAAACAAAATTTGGAGTGAAGGAAAACTGCCGTCAGGTTGGGAAAAAGCGTGGATAGTGCCCATCTTTAAAGGAGGTGACAACGCCAAGACAGAAAATTACAGAGGGATCTCGCTACTGGATGTGGGCTACAAAGTGTTGACAGTCATTCTTGCAGATCGCATAGGCAGATGGGTGGAAAACAACAACATTCTAAATGAGAGCCAAGGTGGTTTTAGGAGGAAAAGGGGCACTAGAGACCACATATTTGTCTTGAACTCACTAATAAACGGGAGGCTGAGAAGAAAACGAGGCAAATTATACGTGGGGTTTATCGACTTCAAAGCCGCCTTTGACACCATAGACAGAGAACTCCTACTAAAGAAAATATGGAAAATGGGCATCAGAGGCAGACTGCATACTATGATAAGGGAGATATATAAAAAGACTAGCGCAGAAGTGATCGTCAATGGAAAGACTTCTGAAGAATTTAAGACAGATACAGGTGTCAGGCAAGGCTGCGCACTAAGTGCAATACTTTTTGACTTGTTCATTGATGATATTGATGAAGAATGGGTCAGAAAGGATGAAGGGGGGACGGTGTTTGGAAAAAGGAAAATTAGAGCATTGAAATATGCTGACGACATAGCGATCGTGGCGGAGTCTGCAGAGGAGTTGCAAAAGATGTTAAACACGCTCGAAAGATACGTAGATAAAAATCGCTTGACGGTGAATGCTAACAAAACGAAGGTGATGGTTTATAGGAATGGTGGGAAAACGTGTAAAAGTGAAGTCTGGATGTATAAAAAGGTGAAAATTGAAGTTGTAAAGCAGTTCAAATATTTAGGGTACACGTTTTCTACTAAAAACAGCAGTAAGGCGCACACGGAATTAATGATAGACAAAGCGCAAAAGGCAGCAAATGCGGCATGGGGCCTGATAAAAAGAGCTGGACGAGACATGAGAAAAGATAGAGTCGGTCTAATGAATTCGTTGGTGAGATCAGTTGCACTATATGGTGTAGAAGTTTGGGGGTGGGACAATGTAGATAATATGGTGAAGATGCAGGGGAGATATGTAAAAATGGCTTTAGGTGTCGCTAGAAACACCCCGATGTACATATGGAGAGGTGAAATGGGAGTGGAGAGTATTCAATATACCATTAGGAAAAGAGCGATCAGCTATGTGAAGGACATCCTAAACATGGAAGAAGACAGGTGGCCGCGAATATGCCTGACTGAAGAGATGAGAGCTGTGCTAAATGGCAACCCATCAAAGTGGGGTGCTCAGATGGCGGGAATCCTACAGAACTGGAAAGCAGAAGAAGTTTGTGAGTGGATTTGGAAGGGTGGCAGAGATGAGGAAGTTCATATTAAGCTCATGGAAAGTCTAAGCAACTGGTGGGAAAAAGAGTTGGAGGCGGAATGGAGCAAAATAGTAGAATCAAAGTATAACAGTCTGTATAAAGAGATCCTACCGGGTGCAAATGGAGCAGCGTACTTGAGGATGAAAGTTAAGCGGAAAATGGACAAAGAAACATGGGCAAGAATTAGATGTGGAAACGTAGGCAGGGCTGGCAAAAAGGGATATAAAGATTGGAGCTGTAGACTATGTGGGGGAGGGGAGGAAACTTTAGCACACATCTGCACCTGTAGTGAAGCTTGGAGACTACAAACAGATGAAACCAAAAGTTTTATGGAAATATGGAAAGGTAATCGGATAGAAAGTGAGATGCGTAGTTTGCTTGTAAAAACACTGAGAGGTGAAATAATTGAAGAATTATGTACGTTTATAAGAGTGATTGAAAATAAGTTAAAAGACTGTAAATGAGTGTCATGTCAAAATGTAAAATGAGCGTTGATATTTAATGTATGTTCTGTTGTGATCTTAGGGAATAAGACAAAATGTAACTCTATGTATTATTGCAAATTGCAATTATCCTGTAAGGACATGCAATGAAATAAAATTATTATTATTATTATAAACTTTTCGATTCATTATGGTACTAGTTCATATTTAAATTAAATACACGTTATAAATAGCAAAGCTATTCACATCGGAATTGTAAACCTTTGAGCTTATCGAACTTCATTTAACACCTAATTAGACCCAATTTTAAGTGAAAAAAATCACAGTATGCGATATTTATTATGCACACTCTCTAATAGTTCTATTTTTGCTACGAATCTGAAACTAGTTTTCAAAAAATACTTTTAACTACGTGCCATTCTGTCAAATATTTTTTTTTTTTCATTTTATTTCCGACGATAACTATACGAATTAAAAATCCGTCATTTTTTTTTATTTCAGATCAGAGGGAGAGATCAATTGACACGCACCAGTCAGGTCTTTTTTTTTGGAAAGGGGAACTTCAGCGCAATTTTCCTAATTTAAAAAAAATTTTTTTTTGTTTTGATCTTCATTTTTGTGTAGTTGATAAGTAGTAGAATAAGTATAAAAAAAATTTGAAAGCATATATTACAGTCATAAGTCATTACCTTCATATAGAAATAAAATTTTTTAAAATAGCTTATATTTTAGGCCGCTAGACCACCGGGTCTCCTTAAGCACAACAGACACCATGGCTAAAAAAAATCGGATAAGATCAATCGAAAGAAAATGTTGTAAAAATTGTATCGACAATTTCCCATATTTTTCTCGATTCGCAGTCATGTCAGTTACATTACGCCGTACTAATTTTTGTACTTTATTGTACGGACAATAACGTGACTACGAATTCCTGTATATTTTCGCGCTTTTATTCAGTCTCAAAATATTAAGTATCTTTCCGTCTTTAAGTTTCAACAGATCAATACATAAAATATCTCAATTTATGGGGCTATAATTTTCTGTCATTTCCTCATTTAAAAAGGGTCAAAATTAATAAAAACTTTTATTGACTCTACCATAAAATAAATGAATTTTTTTGTTATTTTTATTTAAAAAATGCTAATAAATAAAAGAGCCGCATTATATCCTATGTAGTAACATCAATAGAATTCATTACATATTGATCTTTTAAAGATAGACATTTTCTACGCTATTATCAACATTACAAATTATTCAACTCAATATTTCACTAATTAAAATGTCTTTCCAGGTACCACATCAAACAATACCATAAAGTTGAGTAACAATTTGTAGATAAAATCAATTATGCATATAATCCAGTATTGAGAAGTTTATAGTCCAACACTAATAAGTACTTAAAAGTTATTTGTTTGATCTCTCTGGAAGCGATAGAATAAGTATGCTTGTATATTTTGAGATAGTTAATGAGCAATTGGTAAAACTTGAATATGTTTCGTAAGCATTCCATTCTGTTTTTGTTTCATGATGCTTAAAGAGCCTACAGCTATACGCAATTTTCCAATTAAGTTACCGAGCGCAATTTACTGATCCACGTAATACGACTGAAAGTATCGTCAGCCGATAGATGATGACTGTTTTGGTTATTTCTAGCTGTTAAAAATATTTTCATTTAAAAATTCTTCGAATACTTTTCGAGGAAAAAAAATACATTTTCAATATATACAATCATTAAAAGTAATATGTGATTAAAATCGATTTCTAGTAATTAAATAATTTTAATTATCATTTCATTTATTGTTTGCTAAATATTAATTGATATAATAATTAAGTCGATACAGAATAACTTTTAATGGTATATATTTCACAAATCGTCGATGTTCAATCCAGATTATATAATGAAATTTGTTTGTTGAACTTTTAATTATTCTAAAGGGGCTTACTAAATGGGTTATTAAAAATAATGTATGCTTCTAGTTTCATTTGCTTTTTGAATGAAACTTGTGAAAGAAAGATGGAAAATAAGGCGATCTTGAAAATTTGAGCTGGATACCCCCAAATCCTGCCACTAAAAAATTTTTCGAAATTTCAAAAAGTCAATATTCTTCAATTATTTTCAAAACTCTACACCTCGATTTCTTTAAAACTGAACGATACAAACTAAACGTCATTCTTCTCTGTTAAACTTATATTTTGAAAAAAAAAAAAGTAGCTAGTTTAGTTAAACTTTATATCCGACTTTTAGCTGAGAGCTTCTAACTGGACTTCTATGTTAATAAAATTTTGATTATTTTAAAAAAAACTCTCAGAACTACATTTCTAAAAGCAAGAAAAATTTTAATAATCTTTGACGGCTTATATTTTTCTTTAAAGTGTATTCTAATAATGTAAATTTTTCTTGAGAACTTCGATTGCACGGGGATGTCACCCCACATAAAATCGGTGAATTTTTGGAAAACCGCTATTTTCCGATGATTAGAACTTTTTTCTATCAACTTGAAACCCTTCAAAAATATCAGGGATTATACTTTGTTGTATACTTGAACAACTAATTTCCGAGCTATGAATTTTTGAAAATGTCAAATTTTTAAATTTAACTGACTTTTCTATGATGATTATATTGATTACTATTGGTTTTATGAATTCTATATAATTAGAAATCACATAAACAAACTTTACATTTCACGGATATAATTTATTGATATTCTTACACCTGCTATCAGATTGTTATCATTCTATTGTTAGCTGTTGATTTTTTTCGTTACATAACTGGCCTTGTTATTGGCGTAAGCCACTAGGTCATAAGTGAATAAATAAATAAAGTATACCCACAATCATTATTGTAATTGAAATATTATTGTTAATTTTTTACGAGATAAAAAATTTTTTTTAACATGTAATGACTTAATTTTCAAATTTTTTTGTGCATAAATAAATACTTTTTATAATAACGTATATTATTCAATTTATTAAATAATTATTCATAAATTATTCACTATCATACTTTCAAATCGGTGATTGTTACCAAGCAGTAAGTAATACTACTTATCAATAATTACAAAATGTCCTACATGCTTTCAATTTGCAAGATCGCTTATTCTTTAAGAACATAAATTAATAGAATGTTTTGCAATAGCATCAGCACACGAAGTGTAATTTTATATTTTTTTTTTCTAGCGTGAAATTAAAAACAATGAAATTCAAATAAAGATTAAAAAATACTGATTTATCAAGAATCTTATTATATAAATAAAATTCATTGAAAAGTATAATAAATAACCAGTTAATTATTTATTAGTTTTTATTTCAAAAATTAATTACAAGCAATTAAATAATCATTCAATTAATCATAAATGATGATAATTATTAGGAATTTTATGTAACAAAATAATAAGTGTTATCTAAAAATATATTATTCATTTTGAAAGTAGAAATTACAATAGAATAATAATTAGAAAGTATTTCTATTATTTATGTTATTTCATCTTAGCAATTCATAAAATTATTATAAAATAATTTTATTACAATAAAACTCAGAATACATAACTATTTTTTTATAAACATTAAAATTATAATAATAAGTATTCTGTTCAAATCTCTGTGTACTGCAAAATTACACAGAATAAAAAGTATTCTTTTCTAGTTATCGCACGATAACCTAAGGCTAGAAATGTTTTTTCGCATTTTCCATGACTTTCAATTATTTGTTTGTAGTTTTCTATTAATGTTTTTCAGAGAAAAATTTTTATTTATAAATATATAATTAAGTATAAAATAATTTCTTATGTTTTTCCATGCTCTTAGCCAAATGAATTTATTTTTTAAACAACAAACAAATCGCCGTAGGAAATAAGTTACATCATCTATCAGCAATATTAAAAATTTTTTTTTTTCACATAGAATGATGTTTTTGAGTGCACGTCGCTCAAGGGGTTAAATTTTTTATTAGACAGCATTTTTACGATCTAAAGCTTATATGTGTACAACAACAATTAAAAATGTTAAACTTATTGTCAGTTTACGCTAATAAAAATTGTAGATTAGAGTATTTGCGATCCTGACAGGAAAGAAAAGAAAGATGAACCGATTAATCCAATGTTGAGAGTCAATACTTTCAAGATTGACATTGAGTACTAGATACTCGAGGCTATTCTGATTTGAATTGAAATGTCATTTTTTTTTTGTATCGTCATTTTTTAATTAAAACTCATGTATGATAAAAATAAAATGCTATAAAATTCTCTTTATTTTCGCTATTATAATTTGTTAAAAATAACTAAAAATTGACAAAAAGTGAATGTTATATACGTCAAAGTAAAGACAATTTCATAAGATATCACATGATTTTTTCAAAAATTAGCTATCTCTTTTCAATCAATAGTTATACGTTATACATTAATGAAGTGACCGAAAACGTGATTTTCACTCTTTTGAAAACTTTAAATGGTCGCTATTTCTAAACTAATGAACCGATTTTGCTCATCTTCGAACTCGTTCAAGGTAATGACCAAAAATATATGATGCTCGAAGAGCTCAAATTGACACAAAAATAATATTTTTGAGCTCGAACTCAAAAACGGAATGTGTAATTTTGAGCGCTTACAAAATAAGCGGGAAGTTGCAGGGATGGCCTTTAGGGTCAACTGTCATCCTATTTTTTTTTTTTTTAATTCTATCGACTCTTCATCATTTAATTTCTAATATACTATTCCCGTTAATAAAAACAAAGACAGGCATTTAATTTCAATTCCTTTGTTTTCTTCTTTTTTATCGATATACGTAAAAATGTTTTTTCGTTTATAAGCTATAGGACTTCTTGAGGCATGAAATTTAGGGTATGTCTATTAAACTTCAATAACATTTACTAAAAATTTTCTTACAACAATCGTCTCTTCGGCAGCGGGAAAAAGCTCATTATAAGGTTTGTAAAACTTTACATGTAGTTATTTAATCAAAGGAATAAGAATTTTATATAGATGTTTTTTTTGCTAATCACATAATTATAAGCGATTAATTGTTATTATTGTGAGATCGCGAGAATGTAACAGATTAAAATGAATGTATTTTCCAAACACTTGACTTGTAGAAAAGAACTTAGGCTAATATTTAAATAGAATTAGTAAAAAACATGCGAAATTAATTTTCTATGATTTTCTTCACTTACGAGATCTGCAATTTTTTTATCTGAAACTTTCAATGCTCATTTCAAATTTTCTTCTTCGAAATTCGATGGAATTTGGAATCTGTGCAAGTCAAAACAATACTCGAATTATATTTCAAGTCTAGATCTAAAAATGTAATTCTATAAGGCGCCTAGTGGAGCGGGTGGGTAATAGCTAGTGTTATATTAAACAAAAATTGGTTTAGAATTTGGATAAACTAAAAACGAATGTTGGATAAATTTCTTAAGATAGTAAGCAAAATTATCATTATTTTAGAATTTTTTTGTGAAATATAAATCGGTTGATCGTAAATATGTATGTTAATCTATCGTTATTATTATTATTACATTTATCACATTATTTACGGTGATGAGCTCTCGTTGTGTTACTAAAAAGCTGAAATTTTCTTACAGTTTTGTCTTGATATATGTACTAATATTGCAAGTCTCAAAACGCAAATGGTATTATGACTTTGTTTGACTTTCGACTTGTGAAGGTCAAGTGATCTTTATAACTTTAATGCGGTATTTTATATTCGTACTGCATTCGTAGGATGATGAAAGGACATAAATATCAGAAAAATTTTTTAATTTTTTTTTTTATACATATTTTCTT